CCAGTGCTCAAGCGGAGCGTTTTGTCGACACATTCAGGAGGGCGCTTTTGAAATCTCGCGGGGAGGGGACCGTAGATGAGTGTCTTCAGGCCTTCCTGCTCTCGTACCGGTCCACACCGAATCCAGCTACGCCAGGAGGCCAGTCACCAGCTGAAGCATTGATGGGTCGCAAGCTACGTACTACCAACGAAGCGCTCATTCCGACTGAGAAGCCACCTACACAACCTGGTGCCTACAGCAAGCATAAAGAATTCGTCGTTGGAGCCCCAGTCTACGCTCGCGATTACCGAGCAGGTCATCCTCGCTGGATCAAAGCAACAGTGACGGCCAGGCGAGGTGATATGCTTCATGATGTCTCCGTGGGTGATGACACCTGGGTTCGCCATCGCAATCAACTTCGTCCGCGCCACGGAGAAACCTCCACGCCAGCCAGCCATCCCGTGCACCTGCCGCTGCACATCTTGCTGGATACCTTTGGAATGGCTCCACAACGGGAGACCACGGTCGAAGCCGCTCAATCGACGCCGCGTCTCGAAAACCCACCTTGCCGACGAACAGAAAGAATCCGGAGGTCACCGAAATCCCTCCAGGTCAATCCTTGCCAGAAGCGGTACGCGTTCTCTTCAAAGGGAGGTGTTGCGGGCACGTCAAATATTCCCGCAAAAACGCGCCAGAAACCCCAGCAGAATGGCTGTGGAAAGCGAGGGCCAATTCCTCCCCACAACGCAGCAGAGCTCAGCCACTCCGAGACGCGGCCCCAACTGCACACCTTTTGACAATGCTCATTTGCAAACTATCACCTCTGCGTGGTGACTGCTTTCCCTAACTTAATAACCTATAGCACTATCTGTGATTGCCCTTTGTTGGTCGTAAAAGAGCCTACAGAGGACCACTTGTCTTTTCTTTCTCTTCGCCTCAGTTGGGAGTCGGTCGGATCGCGTGATTGCGTGTGCATCGTTAGCTGGCCAGCCTTCGCGTCTAAGTCATTAGCGCGCGTCTATCGTACCCCCCTCTCGTGTGCGCCCGTTCCGAGGGGTCAGCGTCTATCCGAACACTTGCGGCTAAGATCGGTCACACGCTCGCTCAATTTTCCGTCTCACCCGGCTAAGCTAGCGTCATCAGGTCAGCGCAACTCCGTACGATTGGTCAGCGACAATCTTATCAGGTGTTACGCAATCCATATCGAGAGGCGGCGTTCCCTCAATTATAACCGCGGCGACGACTAAGGCAATCTACGCTACCCAATCCATAACAGTGGCGACCCAATCATAACACTTTGGTGTGAAACGTGGAGGTCAAGAAATTTCCTGGGCTCTTAATAAGGTTTTCAAAACCTCTGTCCAGTGTCTCCGCAAGTGGACGACTGGTGTAAAGGACGGCTTAAGTTGAAAATTGGGTGTCGTCCGCCCGAAAACACTGCACACCACTGTAGATGGAAATTGAGCGTTGGGTTTGGACTTTAGTATGTCTATGATGTGGAGAGTACCGACAAGTCATCACAACAATTGCTATTTCTGTTCTGTCAGTGTTAAAAACCTCAATCGGTACTGGATTATTTACCTGGATTTAAAGATGTTGAGCTTTTTGATTGGACAGCAAAGTGGTTGCGCGAAGTGTCCTTGTTTCATGTGCTAAGGCTAAACAACATCATCAAGAAGCCTTTGGTTGACAGTTGTGGCTGATTAGACAATTTGGTAAAACACTGGACAAAGATGGTGCTTGTTTCAATTGCATTTATTGATCATTTCTTAAACAGTATGTAGAAACTAAAAGCTGGTATCTCCCATGATCCTCTAATTTGACATCTCGATATCGATCGAGGTTTTACATGTATGAACAGTGTTGAAGCATGTGCTTGGGATAGTTTTGTCTCTGTTGATGGAGAATACGCCTGAAAACTTTGAAACATTGGATTGTGACATGAGCATAAATTTACGTTTTCTCCATACCCGCTTAATGTTATAATGCGTTCTCGTAATTTCAACTCTTAGTCGTATCGGACGAACGTTCTTCAAAGGCATTGCCCCACGCGCTCGGCATAGTCATTCGAATTACGTACGTTGCGGACTCACATGATCTGGCCTTCAGACGTACACGCTAGCTGAGACTGGAGACCAAAAACGTGTAACATAGCGCGACTATACTAATACCCGACGCGAAAGAAAGACTGGCAGTTAACAAGAGTTCTTCTACTGACTCAGTCTGCACGTTCACATTTATAGTTCAATAGAATAGCACTGTAATGCATAAACTGTAGAGGAAGGTGGATGATGGCAAGGCGCATAAGTTGTCACTCAGTGTTACTGTCCTGAGGAAAATTCAGTTAATGTCAGTCTGGCTTTGTGTGATAGCTGCCGCACTGTGCTGGGGAGAGCTCATGGTTCACTGCGGTTCAGCAGGATAGATACATTGGTATTATGAGGGCCGTTCATTAGGTTCACTGCAGCTTGCACTCTTGATACATCAGTGTCCTGAGTGGAGCTCATTTGTATCACAGTGGCTTGGAGGCGTTTGGTACTAACGCATTCTAAATCGCCGCATGCTGATTGAATCTCTGCGGTGAGTCCGGCGAATTCAGCGTAAGTTTCGTAGAACTCCGCTAGACTTAACGAGATTCCGGATGATCATGCTTACTTCCGGGTAAGAATATAGGCATTAAGTTGAACAGGCGAATGATGGCGAACTACTGCTGGAGCATTCTTGGTGACTTTCTAGATTACCACATTGCAGGAAATCGTACAAACCGCGTTTTCAAACTTAGCTGTCATACATACTGTTTCTTCGGTTATTTTGTATACAAGTATATATATATATATATATATATATATATGTGTATATGGTTGGCGGCATCCGGTTTCGGATTTGCCTGTCACTGTGGCAAGCCACAGGACGCCTGCGCCTACAGAGGGACCATGGATGGCTTGCGCTGCACCACCCACAGCTCCAACCACATACCCATATCCAGTGTAAACCCGAAGGAATAAGACCGGGAGGCATGCGGATGGGAACCACGTTTCATCAACGGAGCCGGCCCACACTCCTTCACAGGCAAACACAAGCACGCTGTATTTGGGGAATCAACCGCACACAAGGCGGTGGCTGGACCGTAGTCCGCTCCACACTGAGTGCATGGAACCGCTCTTTGAGCCTAGCACGGCCACAAGAACCGTGCACCCCGTCCCCTCCAGCAACGACCAACTGTCTCCTGGAGCCAGTATGAACGAGGTAGTGGGTAATAGACAGGTAGGCACCTTGTCAACATACACATCAAGCGCAACCATACCATGGATATCAAACAACAGCCATTCACTTTAAACGACAAGCTGAAATAAAATAAATCCAATAATGCATAGAGATGTGGTGGCATAACTCTTCGCTAAATTACCATATGAAGTAATTTGGTTAGCAACAAATCCGTGATAAGTAAGAAATGTCCACAAGTTACTTAAAATGCTACAAACGCAACAAAATTACCGAAGATAAGCGCAATTAGTGTGAGCAACGTGGTCAATTAATAGAACATTATTCAGGGAGGCAGAACAAACCAAATAAAGCGGAATGAAATTTAGCCAGCTTAAAAAGACCTAGTTTAAGTGTAAGTTGGTTTAGCCCAACTGCGGTGAAGAAGCATCAAGAATGCAACATCAGCCTCAGCATATATATATATATATATATATATATATATATATATATATATATATATATATATATATATATAGTCCAACCGGCTGTTGCGGCCATCCAAAATATCCCCAATTTTTCCTCATGACTAATGTCGCTATGCGTGCCCTAGCTACGTTTCGCAATCTCATGGAGCCAATAATCGAGGTGGAGTGTGTTAAGCAGGTAGGCACCTTGTCAACATTCACAGCAAACACAGTCACACCGGAGATATCAAACCGCCAACATATAATTTATGGGGAATCCAACACGCAAAATTGACACAGAATAGGCAGCAGAATAATGTTGCGTATTACGCAACTTGGATCCCCATCGTATTGGTGACATCAAACACGAACTGGTACTGCTGAATTTAAGCAAGTTTACCGCAATCGACGGCCTTACTGCCTCGTTACTGTCTAGCGGGGACAACTCGCGCATAACTAGTGTATTTACTTATTCCAGTAGTATACTGGAATTATAGGTGTGACATCTTCAGCTGTTGATTGGTCTGCCGAGCTTGATGAAATAATCGCATACGCTTTCCTACCATGCAAAGTTGCATCGTCATTGCGGAGATGCCTGATGGGCAGCCCCACTAATTGAATCGTCTATTCGTGATCGACGGGCAGGTGACTTTTGAAAGTGGCATCTTACGGAGGTATCGAGACATTAGTTTTATTTTACCTGTCCTCAAGCTACTCGCAAGTACCACACTCGCTCTTCGTTTTTCGGGAATGGAGCCCATTATAAACAACCCGGGCTCTACTCACAAACCATGCGCTTATCTTATTTTCTGTTTTCTGCTCACTGTCCGATGTTCCGGATCACGGGTATGCGCGTTTCTATCACTTTCCTGGGATTCATGGATTTAATCCAATTGGGGATTACGATTGGTACATGCACCCACACAGTACCCTACCCTCCATCTTTCACCCGTCTACATGTGTGCTAATATGACAATCTACCCGGTTGGTTTAATTACTTGCTCACTTTGCGTATTCACGCTCTTCGTTCGGGTTCACATTGAGCGTGTTGCTTTGGGGCTTTTGCCTTGCGTGGCGTTTGCTAAGGATGAGCAGGTGAATGGTATGGGTGCGAGACAAGCGGCGCATTTCTCGTCGTTTGATAACTTCAGCTTTTACCGCTACTCGACGCTTAGCCTTCATTCATGCACCTTCCCTAGACATTTCGATGTGTTGTGTTATTGTTATTGGTCTAAACGCGGTTTAATTCATCGCATCAAATTCTTTCACGAAGTCCACGGACAATGTGCACTGTGGCTGGCATGTTTCATTCGATTTCTCTTGCTGACATCCACCCGCTTGCAATCCATTTCCATGTGCTTATGTTCTGCTCACAGCTCGTTTCATCTTACTCCGGGGGTTATTTCTCGTTACTTTATACTCGTTTTTTCACTTGACCCATTCACTGTTTCTTTTCTTCTTGCTAGCACCGCATCTGAAGTGGAACAGCCTCGGGGTGCTCAGCATCGTATGAGCGCCGCTCATTTGGATTCTGCCGCGACGGAATCAGTTCGGGCTACCTTGGTAAATCAGCCAACGACCCCATCTATTAATGGAGTGGAGTCACTCACAGCCGACCCCTTTAGTGCGCGCTCGGCAAGCTTGCTGTCGGTCTCACCTGATCAGCTCCCTGAACGGGAATCGGACGTACGCTTGTCACCCAATATTCGGCACGAGTTATCCTATCCGAGGTAGTCTATGTTCTCTGTCGGTTAATTTGATCGCTGATGATCCACACATTTCGAACTCGGTATATGCTGTTCGCCTAACCACTTGCATTAAACACTACTTTGGTCTTTGTACTTTCCACCCAGTTTAATTAATCGGTTTTTTCTCTTCTACAGCTAGACTACCCTAAAAGCCCTTCAGTATCAAGTGCCTACTTGCTCTAGTGTTATTGTGCGTTAATGCCTCAAGTGCTAATGAATTCCTCCGTGTTTATTGATTCCCTTCACCAACTTCAAGTCACGCCTAGACCTCATGGGGGCACTCTTGTCTGTCTTGATTTTTCGTACTACTTTGTCGGAAGATAAAATTCGTCTTACTCTTTTTTCGACTCTGTTTCATTCTCACACTTCTCTGTAACTGCTATCCGGTCTCTTTTGACTCAAAGCTTATTTTCTTGGCATTTGCTTTTGTTTACTTGGAGCACTTTTCCCTTCTTATTAAATACAAGCCTTGCGTAACGTATCTGTTCGACTCACTTGAGACCGCTGTCTATTGTCGCAGCTGTGTTTTAACCCTGTCAATATCCGAGACGGTGCGATGGTGTGTGTGTCTTTTCGACCTATTGATACATACTGGAAGACACTTTACAAGTACCTTCAGCGCCACTCATACCAGACGAGTCAATGGTTAGTGATCAGGCTAACTCAATCACAGCATTCTCTTCGGAGGTCAGTGAGCGATCAGTGATTTCGTTCCTGCAGAACTTAACCGTGCAAGACAACAAACTAAGGGACGTAAGGTAATAACGCGATTGGGGTAGAGCAGTAGTGCCACGTGCTTAGCGTGGTGCGATGGTTCTTGTACCCCTGTGACCCACTGAGCTACACTGGGTGGTACTTACCAAGTGCCTTCAGACCACTCATACTAGACAGGTCAGTTGTTAGGGATCAGAATAAGTCTCACAATCCAATCCTCTCGGAGCTTAACAAGAGGTCGATGACTCTCTTCTAAAACCTAGCCATGGGATACAAGAGGCACACAGATTATTGTGCGAGGTTTGCAAGTCAATTACAAAGATTCCAATCTCATTGATTTCCTTGCCGCACTTGAATCAACGCTGACCACATGAGACATCGCAACTGAAGCCCAACATGCAATTAGACACAGCATCATTCCCGCTCTGAGTCATAAAGTGGAAACCAACAAATTCAGTGTAAGCGAACCAAAGGCAGTGACAATCCTCAGAAAAGACAAGACTATTATTCTAATGGACAAAACTGACTACATGAAGAAAGCACAAGAACTGCTAGGAGATGTGAACACCTGCCAACCGATAAGTGAAGACCCTACAAAAGCAAGATCAACAAAACTCTTCAAAGACTGGAACAAACGGGACAACTCACGAAGAACACAGCAAGATGAAACCCGAAGATTCAGTGCTACCATGATTCTACGGCCTACCTAAAGTACACAAAAATGGGGTACCGTTTCGCCCTATCGTGTTATTACCCGGAGCACCGAATTACAAGCTGTCTAAGGAACTTTGGAAACGGTTGAAACATGTAATCGTAGGCTCAGAGAATTCAATCCAGTCGGCAGAACAATTCCTTGAAAAACTTAGGCGAATAACAATAGAAAGAGGCGAGCTAATGGTCTCCTTTGACGTCGCAGCTTTGTTCACATCAATTGACACAACGCTGGCGAGGCAAACAATGAGGACTCTGCTTGAACAACACGGAGCGGTAAATACCAGCAACAGAATTAAGGCCACACAAATGATGGAATTGCTTGACTTCTGTCTCACCACACACTTCACTTTCAATGGCCAAATGTACCAACAGATAACGGGTACGCCCATTTGATCGCCAATCTCTTGACTGGTAGCAGAGGCAGTGATGCAAATCTTGAAACAGTAGGCATTGCCAATAGTGGAGCCCAAACCTTGGGTACGTTACGTAGACGATACTTTTATCATCACCAAAGGCTCCAGACTACAAGAAACACATCAACTAATCAATAATACTTTTTCCGGCATACATTTCACCAAAGTGGAAGAGAACAATGATCAGTTACCATTCTTGGACGTGTTCGTGAGAAGACATGCTTCTGGGTCACTGTAAACCACGGAAAGCGACTTACACCGTATCGCAGTAACCAGCCGACCATATACAAGCGAAGTTGCGTGCAGACGCTTTTCAAACGGGCGCAGACACACTGTAGCACGCCACAACTGAGGTAGGCGGAGGAGGACCACCTAGTTAGCATGTTTCAGTGAAATTCGTACCCTAGAAGCTTTATTACACATTGCCTGATGTCGAAGAGCCAGTCACAACCCGCGTCCACATGTGCAACAGAAAGAAGAACGATTATCCTACCTTACATCCATGGGATTTCTGAAATGGCAGCGAGGCTTCTAATGCCTCACGGGATAAATGTTGCACACGAAGCAACGGAAACCATTCGAAGTAAACTTTTTAAGGTAAAGGACAAACTGTCTAAGAAAGAAACATCAGGTGTAGTTTACAAAATTTCCTGCAAGTACTGTGACAAGTACTATGTAGGCCAGACTGGAAGAAAACTTGGCACAAGACTGCACGAACATAGTCTGGCCATCCGCCGCCACGATGAGAAATTCTTAATGTCAGTACACATGGATGCCGAGGACCATCAGTTCGATCTGGATAAGGTTGAAATACTTGGATGAGCAAGAAACTGCAGAGCGCGTGAGTTCCTCGAGGCCTGGCATTCTGGCCGGAACTCAATCAACAAGCACCTGGAGCTGGAGGGTGTCTACGAAGCTCTGCAGGTTAAGCCAACAAGAGGCACCAGATCGACAAGGAGGAGACGTGCTCACTCGACCAACTTACGTGAACCGATCGAAGGCTGACATTCGAAGCAGGTAACAATCAATAGTCATTCGGATCTGGCATTGGTTTGCGAGACTCGACAAATCGTGACTGAACAGCCGCACTGAAGATGTCGCCTAGTTTGCTAACGAAACGTCTGCAACAAAAATGTCCAGCTCGGAGAACAGGACAATCCTCTCATCCACGGGTTATTAGCTCACAGCTCGATTGGCGTAGAGCACCTGCGCCACACATTCTCTGACAATGGGAGGGTACTTTCCGGTGTTCGCCTTAAACCAGGTGATCACTGGTCAAATTGGTGCAAACCCGCAAACTTCCACCTGCGGCTGGCCGTGGTCGCAGGCGCGTAACATACTACGGTCGTACAATACTTCTGCTTTGTTGCCAATCTTAAAAGCTTGTGAGTGACAACCTCGAGCAAATCCCAATGAGTGAGGGTATGCGGGTGTTCTCCGAGCTGGCTGGTTTGGCTGCAAACGTTTCATCGTCAGGCTAGACGACATCAAGCCGTTCTACCAACCGGCTGCTTAAGCAAAGCCTCCGCAAGGATCGCGAGACATGGTCTGAGCGTGCTTTAGAGATGGAGACTGCTGCCCTCTCTGGTAACACTCGCAGGCTTTTCCAACTCATTCGGTCCACTGGCCTCAGGAAGCCTGGTGTCAGTGAGGTCATTTGTGAGGTGGATGAGTCTCCGATCACCAACCAACAGAGGCGTATGGACCGCTGGGCCGAGCACTTTCACTCGCAGTTCAACTGGCCTCCACCATCCATCAGTACATGCAGTACACCTTGCGGTCCACCTTGGCTAGTCCCATTGAATCCACCCAGCGAAGCGGAAGTCTGCCTCGAGATTCGACGCTTAAGCGTTTCAAGTATGGCGGTGTGGCAGTCATTAACCAGCTGACCGCGCTGTTCGCAAAAATTTGGCATGAAGAGAGAGTGCCTCCCTCTTGGGGCGAATCAGTTATTGTCCCAATTTTCAAGAAAGGCGCTCGCACTTCATGTGCAAATCATCGCGGGATTAGTCTTATTTCGGTTGCCTCTAAGCTGTTGGCATCCATTCTACTTCGTAGACTATCCCCAGTACGTGAATCGTACTACCGTGAAGAACAAGCTGGTTTCCGTCCTGGCCGCGGATGCGTGGATCAAATCTTCACGCTCCGCCAACTCCTTGAACATCGCCACATTTATCACAGGCCCACTATCGTTGCATTCCTAGACATACGTGCCGCTTTTGACTCCGTTGATCGACCTGCTTTATGGCGTTGCTTACTAAAGAACGGGGTGCCAGAGAAATATATCGCCATCTTACGAGCACTTTACCTTATACATGCGGCAGCGTGAGGTTATGGCAAGCTTTCCTCGCAATTCCTGCCAATAGCGATGTGCGACAGGGCTGCCCTATGTCCCCATTCCTCTTCAACTTCGCAATCGAAGACGTTCTGTCGAATGCCCTAGAAGGTTTCCAACATTTTGGCCTAGAGCTTCTACCGGGTGAACGCGCGACCGACTTCGATCATGCTGATGATATCGCCTTACTTGGTGACGATCCTCAGGGTATGCAACTCATTCTGGATCGTTTGGCGGTTGAAGCATCTAAGTATGGCATGAGCTTCGCCCCATCGAAGTGTAAAGTACTGCTCAAGGATTGGCTTTCACCTGCACCCGTGCTCACTCCAAGGTGCACAACTTGAACAGGTAGATAGTTTCGTCTACCTTGGGAGCTGTGTTTCCGCTGACGGCACAATCAACAAAGAAGTTTCGCTTCGTATCGCTAAAGCTCGATCAGCATTTGTTAATCTGAGGCACTTGTGGCGTCGTCGCGACGTCTCATTCTCACTAAAGGGCCGAGTTTACAGCGCGTCCGTTCGCTCAGTATTGTTCTACGGGAGCGAGTCCTGGCCGATTCGCGTGGAAGACATGCGTCGTCTTTCTACGTTCGATAACGGTTGCTTAAGGAAGATCGCTCGTGTTTGGTGGCAACATCGAGTTACCAGTAATGACGTTCGACGTCGCGTCTTGGGGAATGCAAGTATTTCCTTCAACAAACTGGTTTTGTTGCGCCACTTAAGATGGCTCGGTCATGTCCTACGCATGGCACCTGAGCGTCTACCGCGTCGCGCTCTATTCGCTCGTCAATTACCTGGCTGGAAGCG